CACAGAAGATGTGGAAGACCTGCACAGTGAAAACTATAAAACATGTCTGAGAAAAAATTGTAGAAGATGTAACTAACTGAATCAAGAGATATACTGTATTCATAGATCAAAAGACTCAACATTATTAAGATGTGAATTCTCCTCAAATCCATCTACAGTTTTCAACACAATCCCAATGAATATCACAGCAGGCGTTTTTACAGAAATTGACAATCTGATTCTAAAATTTGTATGTGAATACAAAGGACTTAGAATAGCCAAAACAAGTTTGAAAAAGAAGGGTCAGAGTTACACTACCCTTTTCTTTTTCTTTTATTTTTATTTTTTTATTTTTTTTGGCCGTGCCGCACGGCTTGCAGTATCTTAGTTCCCTGACCAGGGATCGAACCCAAACCCCAGCAGTGGAAGCATGGAGCCCTAACCACTGGACCACCAGGGAATTCTCTACACCACCTTTTTCATATCTCATTATATAGTACACTAATCCGGGACTTCCCTGGTGGTCCAGTGGTTAGGACTCCACGCTCCCAATGCAGGGGCCACAAGTTCGATCCCTGGTCGGGAACTAAGATCCTACATGCCCCATGGCATGACCAAGAAAAAAAAAAAAAAGATTGTGGCATGGTGACTATAGTTAAAAACAAACAAACAAACGTAATATTGGCATCAAGAGAGACAGATAAATTGATGGAACAGAATGGAGGGTCCAAAAATAGACCAACATATGTATATGGTCAATTGATTTTTTTCTTTTTCTGTTTTTTTTTTTTTTTGCTGTACGCGGGCCTCTCACTGTTGTGGCCTCTCCCGTTGCGGAGCACAGGCTCCGGACACGCAGGCTCAGCGGCCATGGCTCACGGGCCTAGTCGCTCCGCGGCACGTGGGATCTTCGCGGACCGGGGCACGAACCCGTGTCCCCTGCATCGGCAGGCAGACTCTCAGCAACTGCGCCACCAGGGAAGCCCTGGTCAATTGATTTTTGACAAAGGTACAAAAGCATTTCAGTGGAGAAAGGGTAAGTTTTTTCTTTTTTTTTATTTTATAAATTTATTTATTTTTGGCTGCGTTGGGTCTTTTTTGCTGCGAGAGGGCTTTCTCTAGTTGTGGCGAGCGGGCGCTGCTCTTCGTTGCGGTGCGCATGCTGATCAGTGCAGTGGCTTCTCTTCTTGCGGAGCGCCGGCTCTAGGCATGTGGGCTTCAGTGGTTTCAGCTCACGGGCTCAGTAGCTGTGGCTCACGGGCTCTAGAATGCGGGCTTAGTAGTTGTGGCGCACGGGCTTAGTTGCTCCGTGGCATGTGGGATCTTCCTGGTCCGGGGCTCGAACCCATGTCCCCTGCATTGACAGGCGGATTCTTAAGCACTAAGCCACCAGCGAAGCCCGGATAAGTTTTTTCAATAAATGGCCCTGGAAAAATTGTTTTCCCACATACAAAAAAAAAAAAAAAGAGAGAACTTGCACCATATACAAAAATTAACTGAAAATGGATCAAAGACCTAAATGCAAAACCTAAAACTATAAAACTTGTAGAAGAAAATGTAGGATAAATTATCTTTGGGTTCTTTGTGCCAGTACAACCCCAAAAGCACATTCCATAAAAGAAAAAAATTGATAAAATGGACTTTATAAAAATGAAGAACTTCTCTTCAAAAGACACTGTTAGGGCTTCCCTGGTGGCACAGTGGTTGGGAGTCCGCCTGCCGATGCAGGGGACACGGGTTCATGCCCCCGGGAGGATCCCACATGCCGCGGAGCGGCTGGGCTCGTGAGCCACAGCCGCTGGGCCTGCGCGTCCGGAGCCTGTGCGCCGCAGCGGGAGAGGCCACAGCAGTGAGAGGCCCGCATACCGCAAAAAAAAAAAAAAAATTGGCTTGTGTTTTGACAAGCCAAAGAGTGGGAGAAAAATCTTCCTATTCATACATCTGATATATGTCTTGTACCTAGAATATACAAAGTACTCTCAAAACTTAGTAATGGGAAAATAAACAACCAAGTAATGGGCAAAAGATTTAAACAGATACCTTCACCAAAGAATATTTATAGATAGAAAAGAAACATATGAAAAAATGTTCAATATCATTAGGTATTAGGGAAATGTTAAAACCATAATATGATGTCACTACACACATTTAGAATGTCTAAAATTAAGAAGACGATACCAAGTGTTGATCAAGATGTAGAGAAAGTATAGCTCTTGTACACTATTGGTGGGAAGATAAAATGGTACAACCGCTTGGAAAACAGCTTGGCAGTTTCTTAAAAAGTTAAACATACATTTACCATAAGGCCTAGCCATTATACTTTATTTATTTACCCAGGAGAAATAAAAAAGCATATGTCCACACAAAGACTTGTACGTGAATATTCATACCAGCTTTATTTTTTTTTAAGAAGGAGACTATTTTTTAATTAATTTTTAAAATTTATTTATTTTTGGCTGCACTGGGTCTTCGTTGCTGTGCGTGGGCTTTCTTTAGTTGCCGTGAGTGGGGGCTATTCTTCACTGCGGTGTGCGGGCTTCTCTTGTTGCGGCTCACAGGCTCTAGAGCGCAGGCTCAGTAGTTGCGGCACACGGGCTTAGTTGCTCCATGGCATGTGGGATCTTCCCAGACCAGGGCTTGAACCCATGTCCCCTGAATTGGCAGGCAGATTCTCAACCACTGCGCCACCAGGGAAGCCCAATACCAGCTATATTTGTAATAGTAAGTGGAAACAACCTAAATGTCCATCCACAGATGAATGATTAACAGTGGTTAACTCTGGTATATTCATACAATGGAATAAAATTCAGTAATAAAAAGAAATGAACTATTGATATATGCAACAACATGGATGAATCTCAAAATAATTATGCATGGTGAAAGAAGCCAAACAATAGAGTATATACTTGGATGATTCCATTTATAGAAATTTTAAACTAATCTGCAGTGACAGAAAGCATATCTGCCTAGGGATGGAGGTGGGAAAGGCTAGAAGAAAAGGGAGGTTAAAGGGGGTCTGAGAAAACTTTTGGGTGTAATGTGTATATTCATATCTTTTTTTGGCCATGCTGCATGGCTTGAGGGATCTTAGTTCCCCAACCAGGGATTGAAGCCAGGCTACAGCAGTGAAAGCACCAAGTTCTAACCACTGGACCACCAGGGAATCCCTACATATATATATATATATTTTTTTTAATATTTATTTATTTATTTAATTTTTATGACTGCATCTAGTCTCAGTTGTGGCGCATGGGATCTTCTTGCGGTGAGTGGGCTTCTCTCTAGTTGTGGCGTGCGGGTTTTCTCTTCTCTAGCTGTGGCGCTTGGGCTCCAGAGCACGTGGGCTCTGTAGTTTGCAGCACGTGGGCTCTAGTTGAGGCACGCGAGCTCAGTAACTGTGGCACGCAGGATTAGTTGCCCCACGGCATATGAGATCTTAGTTCCCAACCAGGGATCGAACCCGCATCCCCTGCATTGGAAGGCAGATTCTTTACCACTGGACCACCAGGGAAGTCCCCCT